TGTTCAGTGAAAACAAGGACTAATTCATGGGATGTGTTGTTTAAAAATCTGACTTGCAAGAAAACTAGTTGTCTGGCCTAGTTTTAAAGCTAATTACAAAATTTATTTTCTTAATGGTCCAGATATTTTGTCAATTCTTCCAACTCAACAGAACTGCAAAAGCAAAAGAAATATTTTGTTAGATTTTTAAAATACAAATAATGTAGCATTTATCTTCCATTTAACATAGTATATACTTTATACTTTTAGTAAAAGATGTATCTTTGAAAATACCACTGTATTTTTTTACATAGTAGTCACTTATCTTGACTCTCCAACTTAGAAATACCAGAAATAACTAAAAAATAAATATGAAAAAATACTATTAAATTAAACAATTCCAGTCAACTTTCTACAATAAATTGAACTTCCTTAAATTCACTAGGTTCTAGGTCAAAAACTGTTCAGTGAACTGCTTGCATTAAAACAAACTGCACTATACATGCCCATAATACTAATAAAAATATCCAGCATGCACAGTAGATCTAAGAGAGCTAGTATCTGGTCAAGCCCAGATTGTTCAACAGGACTGAAAGAAGGAAGGAAAAAAAGGAAAGAAAGAAGAAAAAGTGTATGTTCTTCTCTCAACTTGGTGTAGAAACTGCCAATTAGGAAGGGTGGGAGACCCTGCTTCAAATTATGATCCCCTTAATACCAGTAACCTTTACAGTGTAGAACTAAAGGAGCTCCAGGTTAGCCAGGTCTACATAGTGAGACTATGTCTCAAAAAAAGAGAGGGAACTGGAGAGTCTAGGGCCAAAGCCCCTAACTATTATCTGTGGAAAATATCTGTCCACCTTTCAATTCATTTTGCTTTAAGCAAAAACGAGCAATTCAAAATGAACATTAAGCCAAAAGGTCTATTAAGTATAACTAAAAAAGAAAAAATCTTATAAACACATACAAAAAACCTTTTAAAACAAAGGAAGGTGTTGTGGCATATGCCTTTAATCCCAGGACAGAGGCAGCACCAGAAACAGGCAGATCTCTGTGAGATGAAGCCAGTATTGTCTACATAGTGAACTCCAAGCTAGCCAGGGCTACAGAGAGACCCTGTCTTAAAACAACAAAAACAAAAATGAAACTGATGAAAAAAGTACCAGCATTTATTTTTGAAACAATGACAAAAATATATACAAAACAATTATAACAAAAAAAAAACGGAAAAAAAAAATCACTCAAAAATGAGTCATTTAGACCAATTCCCCAAAACACACAGGCAATACAAAGGCTTACTGAAAAATCTACCAAACCACAATTAAGTCCACTGTGATCCCTAAAACAAACAGCGATATTTTGGGGTTCAATTTCACCAAATGGAGAAATTCTTCCAAGGTGAAAATTTATTAAAATGAGTAATAAACAGGCACAGACTGTGTGAAGCAGAGTAGAAGCAATGACTACAGTATAGATGGAAATGTGTTAAGCTGACACTCTCCTGCTACACCTACACTGAAACATACACACAGGGGTAAAATCAAGTCAACTACTTCTAGGAGGGCACAAAATGATATTCATGTACAATTTAGATATCCCAGTAGACTGATGAAAAGACCACAATAAATTATCCTATAATAAACATGATATAACTCTAAGAAGGTCCCATACCTTCCACCGATTTCCACATTCATTACACACAACAAACGTTGTCATTGGTTCATCAGCACTACGTGTTTGTACCTGCAGCAAAATCAAGTAAAAAAAAAAACTTCTTTATGAATTACCATTAAACAAAATCCAACCAAGCCGAACATTATGGCACACACCTTTAATCCCAGTACTCCAGAGGAAGAGACAGGCACATTTCTTTGAGTTCAAGACGAGCCTGGTTTACAAAGTTAAGTTCCAGGCCAGTCAGGTCTACATAGTAAGACACTGTCTCAAAAACAACAACAAAAAATCCCCAAACCAAATCAAAACAATCCACCCTATATAAGAACACTCTACATAAAGACATATAACCTCAGTGGTACCATCATAAAATGTATAAGAGCCTAAAACAAGTTTAAATACACTGTCAAAACAGCATATATTTCCCAAACTTCGTTTTTCTAAATCCTTCTTTGATCTTCTATGTCATTTATCCCAAATAGGTGGGAAAATCCTCTAAAAGACACCCATTACATTATGCTTTTTATAAACACTAATATGAAATGATAATTAACACACTGGTATTCTCCTACACATTGGTAACGATGTAACAAAATCTAAAGTTATTTCATTATCACATACCTAAGTGACACAACTATTTTAAAAGCTAAGTTAATTACCCATTTTCTGTACCATAGGAACCTGACATTCCAGTGTACTTTGAGAAGGTAATTAGAAATACAAAGATCTGTATGTGACACCAAAGACTATAACTGAATAATAGCACAGATACTGAAACTAAGCTGAGAATTAAGAGTAAATACATTTGACAGAATATCTTGCAGTTACCAGGTTTGTTTTTCAATTAAAGAAATGTCAGCTTGACTTCATGATACTTGCCTATAATTCTAGACAAAAAACCAAGTAAAACAGGAAACACATAAGAGTTCATGAAAAGTATAAAATAGTTTTTATAATATTTAGCTATATTTAGAAAAAAACTCACAAAATATTGCAAATATCAAAATGTCAATCATTGTTCTGTCAGATAAAGGATAATTTTTAATTTCTTTTTTTATATATATATATATATGTGTTCTGCCTGCATGTGTGTTAAGTGCACCTGTGTCGTGCAATGCCTGTGGAGGCCAGAAGACGGTTTCAGAACCCCTGGAACTGGAGTAACAGACAGCTGTTAGCTGCCACATGAGTGCTGGGAACCAAACCTGGGTCCTCTGTAAGAACAGCCAGTGCTCTTAACCACTGATCCATCTCTACAGCACGCCAACAACCCAATTTGAAATTTCTTCTTTATAAGCTACAGTGCTTATCATACATAAAGCCTTGGGTTAGCTCCTCAACAATACCCCTCCCAAAAATTTTGTTCATATTTTTCCATATTTTGTATTTTCCAAGTTTTCTATATGCAGGCACCATAATATTGCTCAAATAGTTCATATGATCATATAATCCAGCAATTCTACTGCTAGGCACAAATAAAAAGAAATGAAGCAATCTCAAAGAGGTATTTATAAACTTAAATACATCACAGCAGTACTCAAAATCGCCAACGGCTACTTACTGTTTAGTGAGAATGGAGTTTTACTTTTTAAAACTATTTTATTTATTATTTTTATTTTATGTGTATGTGTGTATTGCCTGCATGTAGGTAAGTGCGCCTGTGTCGTGCAATGTCCATGGAGGACACAAGAGACTGTTGGATCCCCTGGAACTGGAGTTACGGTCAATTGTTAGCTGCCATGTGGGTCTTCTGCAAGAACAACCAGTGTTCTTAACTGCTGAGCCATCTCTCCAGCCCATGGAGTTTTACTTTTACAAGAGGAAAAGGAAAACACTGAGAATGTTCTGGGACAGTGTCTCAAAAAATTTTTTTAAAGAGCTCAGTTGGTAGTGTTTGCCTAGTATGAACAAAGCCCTAAATTCAATCCACACCACATATGCCACACATAGTGGCACATGCCTATAATCCCAAGCATTTGGGAAGTAGCAGGAGGAGGATCAGAAATTCAGAGCCATCTCTAGCTACTTAGGAAGTTCAAGGCCAGCCTCAGCTCCATGAAACTCTGTCTCAAAGAGAAAAAAAGAGGGCACTTAGAAAGAATAAAGCAGATATGACTTTAAAAGTTCATTTATACAAGATTTCTTAAATTCTTCACTAAAGAGAATTCTTGAAACCAAATGTCTGTTTCTCTAAATAGATTCCTTCATGAAGATAGTAGTTTTCGTTACTCTTTATTTTTTGATACAGGGTCTCACTATGTAGCCTTGGCAGGCTTGAAACTCACTGTGTAGGCCAGGCTAGCCTCAAACTCACAGAGATCTGCCTGCTTCTGCCTCCTGCGTGCTGGGACTAAAGGCATGTACCAGCACACCCAGCTTTATTTGTTACTCTTAATAGGTAGGCATGGTGGCAACTGCCACCTCCCAAGGAGGTAGAGGCAGGCGACTGAGAGTTGAAGGCCAACCTAGATTGCATAGTTAGACCCTGTTTCAACTCCCACACCTTCCCCCCACAAGATCATTCTCAAGTTTATTAAGTTATAGCATGAACAATGCTGCACTGTGAATAAGATACATTTAAATTTGTGAATGAATCTGATGAAATCTAATTTATCATCACTTCAAAAACCCGAAGTTTCTAGTAAACTATTAAAACCCACAAAGGATGGCCGGGCGTGGTGCTGCCACGCCTTTAATCCCAGCCCTTGGGAGGCAGAGGCAGGCGGATCTTTGTGAGTTCAAAGCCAGCCTGGTCTACACACTGAGTTCCAGCCCAGCTGGGACTAAGGGAAACCCTGTCTCAAAAAGAGAAAAAAAAAAAAAAAACTCACAAAGTAAAGTAAAAAACATTCTAAAAATAGCAGTTAAAAGCCTTCAGATAAAAACACTGTCCTGGGTCCCACATGGTGGCAGAGAATCAAACCCTACAAACTGTCCTCTGACTTCCACTTGTATACACACACACAACCCCCCAAGTAAAAATTTAAAATCAGTCCCCCTGTGATCCTTTACATAATTGCAACACTGGGGTCCATCCCCAAAGCACAAATAAGGAACTTTCTTTTCTTTGGGGAAAATTTTACTCTCTTAGTGGTCACATGGCAACCAAGAGCCATGTCTAATTCTTTTAAATCAGTTATTTCCATGACAACTTTACAAACTTTTGTGTTTTTTAACCCACAGACAGCATTTTCTGTTTTCTTAGGATGTTGGGGTTGGAAGCCAGGGCCTTTCATATGCTAGGAAAAATCTTTACCATTAGGCTATAATTCCATCATCTTTCCATAATTTGTAGTTTGATGATTTTCTTAAGTGTCTTATTTTCTTGTCCATAAGAAAACACAATTCTTTACATCTATGATCTCAAACAAATAATGATCTTTAAGAGGAAAAATCTGAGATTAGGAGAGTAAAGATCAACTATAAAAAGCAAACTAGGGGCTGGAGAGATGGCTCAATGGTTAAGAACACTTGCTGTTCTTCTAGAGGTTCTGGGTTTGATTCCCAGCACCCACATGGTGGCTAACAACCATCTGTAATTCTGGTTCCAGGGGATCTGTCTCCCTCTATATGCAGGCAATACACTCACACACATAAACTAAACTAAACTAAAACAAAAACAGAACCACAAAAAAAAGCCCCCAAAACCAATCTGGCAAATGAGTATGAAGATAATGATAATTTTACATAGATACACAACAACAAAAATCTGTAACACGGCTCTTTCTAGCTGCTGAAAAACAAAAGGTCAATCATGTTATGTATGCATGTAAAAGTCATCAGTATGTTACCAAGAGGAAAACTGATCTGAAAGCCTAAAGTACTCACAGGCTAGCCATGTGGGGAGAGTGAAGAACTTCTCTTAAATTAAATACCCCTGATTACTTACACAGTAACCAGTACCTGCTTATGAACTGTTAGAAAACAACCTGGCTGTTTTATCACAGCTCATATTTTATATAACTGATACAGTTTTCAGAGTAACTATTTTCATGAAGATACGATAAATCAACTTATTTTCAATTAGTTCAAATGTACTGAAAAAGCATTCTTTCCCTTAGGAGGTCACATACCTCTTCCTGAAAAATATCAAGGTCCTGTAATGATTTTTTTTCTAAAACAGGAGTGGCAAACATTCTTAATGTAGAACTAAGAATCTACAATTACAAACCTGTGTATAAGTGCAATTCTTCTTTTTACATTTGCCACATGTGAACAAATCAGTCTGGGTTCCACCTGTCTTGGCCATCTGATGCTCTCTGATGGCTTCTTTGGTCAAGTTTTTCCGCATCTCTTTGAGCTCGTCACTAGCCATTTCCTAGGGGAGGAGCAGCAGTATCAGTGAACTAGAATCCTTCTATAGCTATCCTATATCTTGAATGCTTTTATGTTCAATTAGCTTAACAATAGTCAACAAAGAAAGCAAAATCAGCTTGCAAAGTTTTAAAAGCATAAAATTTTTATTTTTTCCTTTCTTATCAAACCAGAGGTGTAACCAACTTGAATTTATGTAAGAAACAGTTTCAAAAAATCCAGCTAGGAAATGACAACATTCTAAGAATGACTCTCTTGCAGTAGCTATCCTACTAAAATAGCTAATGCAAGATCATCAATGGATGAATTCACTAGGTAAAAGACCAATGGAGAACTTTACAGAAGAAAAATCAGTCACTACCCAAATCCACTGACAAATCTCAGCATGCTAAGAGGAAAGCAAGAAGATCTATGTGCCTTCTGATATACTGCAACTGAAGCCAAGAGCATCACTTAGAAAGCACTTAAGATCTAGGGGTGTGGTGGCACATGCCTTTAGTCACTTGGGAGGCAGAGGCAGGCAGATCTCTGTTGAGTTCAAGGCCAGCCTGGTCTACACAGTAAGTTCCAAGCTAGCCCCACTACAGGGAGACCCTGTCTCAAACAGACCAAAAAAAAAAAAAAAAGCACTTAAGCACAAAAAAGTGGAACCTGAATATAATCAAACAGAACTAGCAGCTTCTACCATATAGGAAACAGGGGGGATAGGAAAAAGTAAATATCATGAAGTAAAATCCTGTGAGATCCAGAAGAAATTCTAATGTAGGGCAGAGAACTAGTTCCTTCAACAAAGCAAAATCATAAAGGACAAAAAAGCAGAGGAAAGGAGATGTGAGGAGCAAAACGGACTGCTTTGGTTAAAAACCCAGCAGACTAATGTACAGACTTTGGAGTCTGACACAAACTAAATTCATCACCAGGAAAATGTGAATATGAATCAAACATCACATAACCATAAGGACACATTGTTAGCTTTGTTGGACATGGTATAAAAATGTATTTACATAAATATTCTATTATTCATATAAAATTTAAAACTATGTATATATACATATATAAGTATGTAGAGTTGAAATGCCTGGGATTTGTTTGACAATAAATTCAAAAGAAAAGAAGAGAAAAAGTGTGATTATGCTGAGCATGGTGGCACATGTCTTTAATCCCAGCTCTCAGAAGGCAGAGGCAGGTGGATCTCTTGTGAGATCCAGGCAAGCCTAGTCTACATAGTGAGGTCAGCTGTGGCTACAGGGAGACACTGTATCAAAAAAACAAAAAAGAAGTGTGTTTAAAAAAGGGCGACAGCCAGGTGTGGTGACGCACACCTTTAATCCCAGCGAGTTCCAGGGCAGCTGGGACTACCGGGAGACCCTGTCTCAAGCCCCCACCCCCCAAAAAAGGTGACAAATTCTTAAAGTATCTGAAACTCAGATGTTAGATACATGGAATCTATATTTCTGCTTTGTGGAGGCTTTGAATATTTTAATAAGATCTTAAAACAGAATTTTTTAAATATAACAATTCTTTTTTTCAATTTTTAAAAAAGATTTTATTGTTCATATTTTATGTTATGAATGTATTGCCTGCATATATATACACATGTACTCGTGTCATGCAATGCCCATGGAGGTCAGAAGAGGGCGTCGGATTCCCCTGGAACTCGTTAGGATAGTTGTTAGCCACCATGTAGGTGCTAAGAACTGAACTTGGGTCCTCTACAAGAGCAGTGAGTGAGTGCTCTTAACTGCAGAGTCATTTCTCCAGCCCCTAAACATGGCAATTTTTATTAGCTATTTAGACAGCATCACTCTCCTGGATGTATAATAAATCAAGTGATTTCAGACACAAGACAGTTAATGTATATAAACTGCAAGCTACAAATTTCCTTTTGTTCTATCATTCCCACATATATTTAAGGAATAATCAATAAGATGAGCACTTCTACAGTTTTTAACCATGGTAATAGGCTTAGATGGTACAAAGTCTGTCCACATATAAGAGAGTCATAAAATCTATATAAATTCATAAAAATATGCTGGGTTTTAGATGATTTGACATCTAACACAAAGAGCACTTGTAAGATGGGTGTGGTAGAGCACACCTTTATCCTAGCACTCAGGAGGCAGAGGCAGGTGGATCTCTGTGAGTTTAAGGCCAGCCTGACCCACATTTCGAGTACCAGGTCAACCAGGATTGGTCCTGGCTCAAAAAAACAAAAGAACATCTGAGCAGCAATAGCTAGAAGGAGCAGGGCATTAATACCAACGGATCTAATTAAGTATTTTATGTGTATGTGTGTCTGTGCACTTGAGAGCCTGTGCTTTCAGAGACAAGGCAGCGGCATTGGAGCCTCTGAAGATGGAGTAACAGGCAGTTGTGATCCACTTAATGTTGGTGCTGAGTGTGGAGTACTGAGCTCAATCAATCAATCATGTATCTCAGAACTGCCTTTGCTGCAACCTTCACATACGCTATCTATACAGTACTTGTCAGAGAGATTTGTCATAAAAACTTACCTCTGCTGTCATTCTAGCAAACAGGTCAGGAGGAATATTCCCACACAGGACATTTTTCCTCAAGTTTGGATTTTTTGCATCTTTAAGATTTGATATCCTACTTCCTCAGAACTGCCTTTGCTGCAACCTTCACATACGCTATCTATACAGTACTTATCAGAGAGATTTGTCATAAAAACTTACCTCTGCTGTCATTCTAGCAAACAGGTCAGGAGGAATATTCCCACACAGGACATTTTTCCTCAAGTTTGGATTTTTTGCATCTTTAAGATTTGATATCCTACTTCGTACTCTGTTCTTGTATTTCATGTCTGTATTTCTTATTTCCTGATATATAGGTACTTGGCCATTAA